CTCAAGAAGACGTACACCAACAGGGATCTCGTGAGGAAAATCCTGCGAAGCCTCACACCCGAATGGAGATCAAAGGCAGATGCAATTTATGAATCCATCGGAGTCTCAAATGTCACCATCGACGGGCTAAGAGGTAATCTCAAAACTTATGAATCTACTATCCTAACCCCGTCTTTGGATGAACAAAAGAAGAAGGGTATAGCGCTGAAAGCAACCAAGGAGTCCGTGGAAGATGACTCAAGCGATGATGACAACGAGTTCGGACTTGTCATCAAGAAGTTCCACAAATTCATGAAGAAAGAATTTGAAAGAAAAGGAAGAAAGCACGACGGGCCCCCGAAGTGCTATGGATGTGGTGAGATAGGCCACATCAAGCCGAGGTGTCCAAAAAACAAAGGCGGCAAGGACAAACCTGGCTTCAAAAAGCAACGCGCCTACATCTCTTGGGGAGGCGACTCCGGGGATGAGTCAACAGATCAGGAAGAGGAGGAAGCCGCCAACCTCTGCCTCATGGCGCACGAAGATCAAACCGACAACGTTCAAGAGGTATGTACCATTTCTTCCGACTCTTATACTTTTGAAGAAATGCAAGAAGCACTTCATGAGCTTTATGATGAATTTGTTAGCGCTTCTAAAATCAACAAATCTTTAAAGAAACGCCTTCCAACTCTTGAAAATGATTTTGCCAAATTGGAAAAAGATAATGAAAGGTTGAAACAAGAAAATAAATTTTATGGTAAGAGAAGTGCTGACAAACCAGAAAGTTCTTCAAGAGAATGTGAATCTTGCAAAACCTTAAAAGAAAAAGTTGCAAAACTTGAGAGTACGGTTAAGAAGTTTAATACACCACACAAAGATCTTAATTTACTTCTAGACACTATGCATTTTTCTAAGGAAGGAATAGGTTTTGATAAAAATGAATCTAAGGATAAAAACGTTGAGCAAACACCTAGAAAACCTCCTAAGGCTCAACATAAGAAAGTTAAAAATCAGGATAATAGAAAACCTAGTCAACCTAGGGACACTAGACAACCTAGACAAAAACCTAGGAATGAAAATGCGCATGATAGACAACCTAGGAAAAGTTATCAAAATGAT